TCGGCGCAGCATGCCGAGCGGACCGACATCGAGTCGCCGCCCGACTTCTTGCCGAGGCACCGTCCGAGCACACAGCACCTGCGAAGGCCAGCTAAAGCCCATCTCGATCATCTGATATCCTCGACCGACAACAGTTCCAATTGCCCCACCCGAGCGCGGTCCCGAATCATGCCGCACGCCATCATGGCGTCGTCGTATCCCGTCCCAGCGGATCTCCAGAACGAGTGCCTACGCTCGATCTTGCTGTCGACGATGTCGATTGGGTGGGCCAGCCGCTCTCCTCCTACATGCAGTTTGCCCCACTCTGGAGCCATGTCCTTGATTGACCGGCGGACTGCCCCCAAGCTGCCAGCGGATGACATCCGCGCCTGGAAGTATCGCAGTGCCCCCCACGCCGCTCGAAGAGAGCCACGCTCTACGGAGAGCCACGCTCATAGACGACCTGAGAGCCACGCTCTACAGAGTGCCACATTTCCCCAGCTCGAAGTCCATCAAGCTACACATGGAATTGAGGGATACTACAATCACGAGAATGTTGATCTGCATGCGAACACGCACACACACATACACACTTGGAGAGTGCCAGAGGCACGACATCTCGGCCGTGACGCACATCGTGCCCGCAACGACGACGGCACAAGAAGCGTACCTGCTCGTGCGATATCCCTCTCTCCACTGCTCCTAAGGAATGCTGGCTCGGAGCACCGCCCCCCCCTCCAAGTAGCCTCAACCTCCCCGTCGGCCAGAGGAGGAGGAGGAGGAGGAGGAGGAGGAGACAAGGAAATGGGAGAAGAAAGGACGGGAATGACGAGACTGCCCATTTTCCGGAAGTCTGGTCCGTCCTCCCACTGGTGCCTCACACTGCGCACCGCATGGCGCACGCATGCATGCTGAGCACAGAACCACACGTCCGTCCTCTCTGAAGGTTTGCGCCCTCCTCCCACTGGCGCTTCGCACCGCAGCACGGCATGGCACTTGCATGCACGGTGTACACACACACAAACGCACCTTGCCTTCCCAGTGGAATCAAAGTCTTCGTGGCTGGAATCAAAGTCTTGAAATCAAAGTCTTAGTGGCTGAAATCAAAGTCTTGGAATCAAAGTCTTCGACTTAGTCTTGGAATCAAAGTCTTAGTGGCTGGCGCTGCCGGCGGCCACTGCGCCGCCCACCCGCGCACCACCTTGTTGAGCAGGGGCCGCCTGGCTGGGTCGTGGCAGCTGCAAGTCTCGCACTAAGTCGTGAGCTTAGCCGAAACACCTGCAAGCAACATGAAGTCGAAGTCGGGCCTGTTCCTCTACAGGGGGAAATTTGAAAAATAGTAAAAAATAGTCTGGGGACTATTGTTTGAGTATGTTTGGCCATTTTGGGGTATTTTTCGGGTAGTCATTTTTTTTCGTCGAAAATCCCCCTGTAGGGGGACACGCCCGACTTAACACTAAGTCGAAGCGGGGTCGGCAATGCCAGAGAAGTCGGAGCGAAGTCGAAGCTGAATCGGCTAGGCCACCAAAGTCGACATAAAGTCGAAGCTGAGTCGGCATTTCGTTTGAAGTCTGAGCTAAGTCGATCTTCTCGCTTCCTTCTTCTTCTCCGTCGCGAACAGCAGGCAGGCTTCTTTTCACCAGAAGGCGCACCCTACCCCCGAACACATCATCAATGCTATGTCACCCTCCCCGCTTGATTTGTCCTGCACCCTTGGTTCGGGTTAAACCCCTGCCCCTGGAAGGAATGTAGCATGTAGCATAGCACGGCCATCAATCCCACAAATTGGGATAGCAGTTGAGCGTAGCATTGAACAGGGGCTCCTGGGGAATGCTAATTCTGCAGTGCTTCCGCCTTTATCCCACCTAGTGGGATTGTGCGTTTTTTTTTTTCCACGGGACCTTCTAAGACTAGACCGCATGTGTTGTCCCAATGCCCCTTGGATACAGGGGCTGCCTCTCACACACACACACACACAAACACGCACACACGCACACACGCACACACACACGCACGCACGCACGCACGCACGCACGCACGCACGCACGCACAGACACACACACACACACACACATACACACGCACACACTCCTGCTCCATTCAAATTTGATTAGCTAGGCATTGGGCTGCTCGAGCAAGATCGTCCCCCTGACATTGATGACGACAAGTCTGTTTAAGTACCGAATACGCCCTATACCAACATGGGGAGACTCCGTCGCGCAGGTGTTGCTGGCGGGTGTGACTTGCCTGCTTGATGGGCCTCGTCTCGAGAAAGCAAGCTTGTCCGCTCGACCTCCGCGGTGAATCCACCCCGTCATGAATGGAAATAGCCTTCCCCGCGGCGTCCACCCAACGCCCGCAGCAACTGCTCATTTCGCCCCCCGTGTTGTGCCATCGCAGGCGTTTGCCTTCGCGTTCGTGGCCTCTTGGGGCCTCTTGGGGACCTCGTAGGGCCTCCAGGGGGCCACCAGGGCTCTCTTGGGAGCCTCTTGGGGCCTCCTGGGGGCCTCTTGAGGCGGAAGGTTCGAATTGGTGGTTCGTGCTTCCCCTCTTGGGCCCCACTTGGGGCCGTCTTGGGGCCCTCCTCTTGACAACTCCCCGCCTTCATGACGACTGACTCCCTAACCGGCTGAAGGTTCTTCTCTACCTTGCGAAGATCCCCCTGCTCCTTGGGGCTGCAGTCCAGCGAGTCGAGCTCACTGAAGAACGCTGTGTACCATGTGAGGTTGAACATGGGGGCATCGTTGATGGCGTCAGTCTCGTCCTGGCATCCGTCGATCGCGAAGACCCCCGTATTTTTTCGCTAGCGCCTGCGCTGGCGCGCGCCTGTTCAGCACGGCGAGCGCGATGGCGTGGGCTGCCTCCGACTCCTTCTCCCCAGCCTTGACCAGGTTCGACTCGAGCCGCTGCACCTGCGCCGCCGCCTGCGAGTACTTGGTACTGGCGTCGCGCCACGCGCCTGGTGAGCGGCGAACCGCCTCCTCCGACGCCACTAGCTGGCTCGCCGCTGCGACTGCCTTCTGCGTCAGCGCCAGCTGCTCCTCCAGCAATTTCTTGACCGCTGGGTTGACCACTGCCAGGGCACCGGACATGGCGACACCGGTCTGGGAAGTGGAGTTGTTTTGGTTTCCGTTGTTCGCCGTCTCGGACTTCACCCTCTGCTCCAGACCGGTGCCCTTGCCATTGTCCTTGCTCGCCGAACCCTTGGGGACGAAGAGCTCGACCGACCTGTCGCATCTGCGGCATTTCGAGCTCTTGGCAAGCAATTTCGAATTGCACCCGTGAGTGCCACGAGCGCCGCATCCCGCGCAGGCGCTCCAGGTCCAGGGGAGGGGGGGAGGGGGCAACCCTCTCCCCCGAAGGGGAAGAAGGGGGTTGGCAGAGGAGCCTCCCTAGACCACCTGCGCCCAGATGGGCCGGTGGGACTCGTGAGTGCCGTGAGTCAGGAGGGAAAGAAACACACAGACACCATTAATCGACGATTCCCCAGAAAACATGGGAAAATATGGGAAGTGGGGGGGAAGACAAAACTCCGAAAACATGGGAAAATGTGGGGGATCTTTTTATTTGTGTATTTATTTGTGTGTCCCAGGGCCCCTTCAGTGAGTGCCGCATCCCGAGCAGGTGCTCCGAGGACACGGCACTGTCCGTGGCCGCCTGCGGCGTGCGGAGGGCCTGCCGCCCCCCCCAAAGGCACGGCGGGGCTGGCGCGAGGGCTGGCCGCGTGCGCTCCAAAGGGGTGCGCCCCAGAGGGAGAGCAGGACGATAGGCAGGAGGAGGAGGAGGAGCAGGAACAAACATATTACAAGGGAGATGCAGGAGGAGGAGGAGGAGGAGGAGGAGCAGGAACAAACATATTACAAGGGAGATGCAGGAGGAGGAGGAGGAGGAGGAGGAGGAGGAGGAGGAGCAGCACCAGCAGGAGCCGCTGCAGGAGGAGCACAATGTTGAACAGGGAGACCAGAGAGGATTGGCAGGATGAGGAGAATGAAGAGGATGGGAAGGAACAGGCCGGGAGAAGGAGGAACAGATGGGGCAGGAGGGGGATTAGTTGGATAAGTCTTAACGCGGGAGAGAGAGAGAGAGGGAGGAGGAGGAGGAGGAGGAGGAGGAGGAGGAGGAGGAGGAGGAGAGCCACCGCTCCCCGAAGCCCGCCACAGGTGGTGTTCGGGTCTTCGGGTCTCGTGAGGCCCAAGAGGGGCCGAGAACGGTTTGAACATTTTGCTCCTCCTCCTCCTCCTCGTCCTCGTCCTTCGAAAGCTGGGCGAGGGCTGCTACAACCGTGGCTGCTAAAACGGCCCTCCCGGAAGGAAAAAACAACTTCCCGGAATGAGGCGCGGCACGCGAAACAGTCAACGGGCTTCTTCCCGGAAGGACGAAGACAACTTCCCGGAGGTCGATTTTAGCAGCCACGGATTCAGCAGCTCTTGCCCGGTCTCCTCCTCCCCGTTTTCCTCCGCCCCCAATCTCATATGCACTCGAAGCGAATTCCTGGACGCTTCCAGGGCTCAGTGGCTCAATCCTGGACGGCTCCCCGTCCCCGGTTTCTTCCGGTCGGTCCTGGTGTGCAAAGCAGGCCTCACAAGGCCGCAAGCGCCGCAACATTTCCTCGAACCTTCCTCAACCCCTCACGCAGTTCCCCTTTACAAAAAACAAGCGGCACGCGTGCCCTGGATCTTGCACCAAGGAGCTGCGAGGGACAGGAGGCTTCCGCCTCCTCCCTCCAGGAGTCTCCTTCTGGGGCCAGGGGGGGAGAGGGGGTAGACGAACGACGGCGACGAGCGAAAAGAATGGGCTCGAGCCGGAGAGAACATCGACAGCAGACGAAGCCCCCGGAAGGCGCCCGACGCCGCGGTCCGAGCCCGAGAGAGCATCGACAGCAGACGAAGCCCCCATGAAGGCGCCCGACGCCGCGGTCTGAGCCCGAGAGAGCATCGACTGCAGACGAAGCCCCCATGAAGGCGCCCGACGCCGCGGTCTGAGCCCGAGAGAGCATCGACAGCAGACGAAGCCCCCGGAAGGCGCCCGACGCCGCGCCCGAGCCCGTACATCCAGCAGCTGCTCCGCGGCATCCTGCCCCCGACCGCGCTGCAGAGGGCCGAGCGCCGGGCCAGCGCCCCGTAGGCCGCCTGGCGGTCGCCGTCGCGCCGTCCTCGTCGCCGTCGTCCCTCGGGAGCGCGCGAGGGGTAGCCAGGAGGACGAGGAGGAGGAGGAGGAGGAAGAGGAGAAAGAGGAGGAGGAGGAGGAGAGTGGGTGGAGGAGAGGAGGAGGAGGAGGCGGAGGAGGAGGAGGAGGAGGAGGAGGGAGGAGGAGGAGGAGGAGAGGTGGAGGAGGTGGAGGAGGAGGAGGAGGAGGTGGAGGAGGAGGAGGAGGAGGAGGAGGAGGAGGAGGAGGAGGAGGAGGAGGAGGGGGAGGGGGAGGAGGAGAAGGTGGAGGAGGAGGAGGAGGAGGAGGGGAGGAGGAGGAGGAGAGGAGGAGGAGGAGGAGGAGCGAGGGTGGAGGATGAGGAGGAGGAGGAAGGAGGGGAGGAGGAGGAGGAGGAGGAGGAGGAGGAGGAGGAGGAGGAGGAGGAGGGAGGGGGAGGGGAAGGAGGAGGAGGGGAGGAGGGAGGGAGGAGGACAAGCAGGAGGAGGGAGGAGGGAGGAGGAAGGAGGGAGGAGGGAGGAGGGAGGAGAGAGGAAGGAGGAAGGAGGAGGAGGGGAGGAGGAGGAGGAGGAGGAGGAGGAGGAGGAGGCAGGAGGAGGAGAAAGAGGAGGAGAAAGAGGAGGAGAAGAGGAGGAGGAGGAGGAGGAGGAGGAGGGAGGAGGGGGAGGAGGGAGGAGGATGGGAGGAGGAGGGTGGAGGAGGAGGAGGAGGAGGCGGGGAGGAGGAGGAGGAGGAGGAGGAGAAGGAGCGAGGGAGGAGGGAGAGGGGAGAGAGAGGGAGGGTGGGAGGGGGGAGGCTGGAGCCCTGGACCCCATCTTTCTGGTATGTTTCGGGCTGCCTCGATCCGTGAGGGTCACGGGGCCCGAAACTAGGGGAACACGCTGCGTATGAAAGCTCTGCAAAGCCCGTACCTCAGGGGCCTTGGGGACGCCCAAGAAGGGGGCATCAGCGAATGTGGTTCGCAGATCATGGCCCGCGGGAAGTGCGGAGCCCGAGGGGGACCCCCGGACGCATTGAAATGCGAAGGCAGGGACACCTTCTCTTCTTCCTTTCCTCCTCCTCCTTTCCTTCTCATACTCTCCTTCCTCCTCCTCCTTATCCTAATCCTCCTCATCCTAATCCTCATCCTGCTCCCCCTCCTCCTCCTCTCCTCTTCCTCCTCCCTCCTCTCCTCTCCTACAGCTTCCTCCTCCTCCTCCTAGCTTCTCCTCCTCCCTCCCTCCCTCCTCATTCTCCCCATTCCCATCCCTCTCCTCCTCCTCCTCCTCCTCCTCCTCCTCCTCCTCCTCCTCCTCCTCCTCCTTCCCTCCTCGTCTGGCTGGCCGCCCCAAGGACGTCGCCGTCGCCGCCGCCGTCGCCCCGAGACTTCTCGGGGCCGTTGAAAAACCACGGCGGGAGGCGCCTGCTTTCGCTCGGCCTCTCTGGGGGCCCCCTCGCCGTGCCCAGGGGCCTCCAAGACACGACTCGGGGTGCAGAGCTGGTCCTCCCGGGGCCGGCGTCCAGATTTTTTTCAGAGGCCGACGTTGTCCAACATCCGTGGGGTCGTCGCCGCGGTCGTCAGGGGCCTTCGTCGGCAGCGCCTCCGCGACGCCGGGGGGTCGCCCTGGGTCGCTCTGCCGCGGGGCCTCCCCGCCCCGGGGCGGAGGAGGAGGAGGAGGAGGAGGGGGAGGAGGAGGAGGAGGAGGAGGAGGAGGAGGAGGAGGAGGAGGAGGAGGAGGAGGAGGAGGAGGAGAGGAAGAGGAGGGGAGTGAGGAGGAGCGGAGGAGGGGGAGGAGGAGGGAGGTGGAGGAGGAGTGGGGAAGAGGAGGAGGAGGAGGAGGAGGCGGAAGAGGAGGAGAGGAGGAGGAGGAGGAGGAGGAGGAGGAGGAGCTTCCGGCGCCCCGCCGCGTCCCGAGGCCCGAGCCGGCAGCGGCGCCGCGCCCACGACGCCGGGGGACGCCCCTGCGCACGGCGAGGCCGGGCGCGGCGGGCCCCGAGGCCTGGCTCGGGGTCGGTACGCCGCTGGAGAGCCCAGCCAGAGGGCGCAGCGTGTTCAATCTCCTTCCCCTCCCTCCTCCTCCTCCTATCTCTCCTCCTCCTCCTCCACCTACCTCCTCGCTCCGCCTTCCTCCTCCTCTCTCCTCCTCACACTCCCATCCCTCCTCCTACCTTCACTTCCTCCTCCTCCCTCCTCCCTCCTCCCTCCTCCCTCCTCCTCCTTCCTCAGTGCGGGGCCTCCCGAGAGTGCCGACCCTTTCCACAGGGCCGGCAAGTAGATCTTTCATCCCGAGTCGTTTGCCGATGGTCCCGGGGCCCAGCGAGGGCCCCCTGAGGCCGAGCACAGCCGAGGATGCTCCCTCGTGATGTCTTGCTTCGACGCGAGCATGTTTGGGACGGCTTGGCCAGGGGTCGGCGTCAGTGTGCGGTTGGCGTGTCCCTGCAGCTCTGAGCGAGGCCAGGGCGCAGACGGCCGCAGCGGCGCCGATGCGCCGTGATCGGCCGGCCGCCTCGAGGGACAACGGGGGGTACAGGAGCCCCAAACATGCTCGCGCCTTGGCAAAACACGACGGGAAGGTCTTGGCCGATTCCGGCCTCCGGGGGCCCTCGTTGGGCCCGGAACCGTCAAAAGATGGTCTGGGATGAAAGATCGGATCTGGGGAAAGGGTCGGAACTTCCAGGGACCCAGTACTGAACAGGTCGAGACATCGCATGTGCAGGGCACTGCCAGGGAAGGCTCGGCCGATTCTGATAGTTCGCTGCTCCGTTCTGGCAGGGTCGCATCGGCTGCTCCTGGGCCTCCGTGACACGCCAGGGGTCCACCCAAACGGTGTTTTTGCAATTTCGTGGGCCATTGTCGTTTCGATGTCGTTTTGAAGCAAGGGCGGATCGGTGACAATACGAGGGTGAACGAAAGCCAAACGAGATCGAAACACGATTAGGGTTGATCCCTGTCGCGCGCAGGCTGGTCAACCGACCGCGTCTTCGCTCTTCGCACCAAACGGCCGGCCAGAAAAGACGCGCTCGCGTGGCGCCCTCTCCAGGAGGACGAGGGGAAGATGAACTGGCGGGTCTGGCCGAAGTCAGGAGGGGAAGAAACACACAGACACAATGAATCGTCGATCCTCCAGAAAATATTGGAAAATATGGGAAGTGGGGGGAAGACAAAAACTCAGAAAAAAATATGGGAAAGTGTGGGGAATATTTTTATTTGTGTGTATTTATTTGTGTGTCCCAGGGCCCCTTCACGAAGGCGGTGCAGGTGGGTAGTTCGCGCCCTCTCCAGGAGTACGGCCGGACCGAGGTATAACATCGAGGTCGGCTCGGGGAGGGTACCCTGACGTTGTTCGCGTGTGTCTGATGCTATGTTGTGCATCCCGGGTCGAGCGTTTTCCAGTTGGACCGGCGGAGGTCATCATGTTCCTGAGGGATGTGATTGTGTCCTAGGTCCGGCCGTGAGGTAGGGAGGGCGAGGAGAATGAGCAGGGGGAACGTTCGGGGGACAGGCTCAGGGGATCGTCTACTCCTCGGCCGATCGGGGCCCGATGGCCCACCCTGCCCAGAATCGTTCGGATTCGCTGTCGGGCGCCTATCTGCGATCGGTGATGCATCGCCGATGCCATGTTGATGTTTCCCCTCCTGAGCCGCCCCCCCCCCCCACATGCTGCATTGCAATTGGGGAGAATTGGGAGGGAGGGTCTGGCCAGAGTCGGTGCAGGTGTATTGTTGGCGCCCTCCCCAAGAGGAAAGCAGGGATGATGAAGAGGAGGTGAGGAGCAACGATGAAGAGGAAGAGGAGGATGAGGAGGAGGAAGAAAAGGAGGAGGAAAAGGAAGAGGGGGAGCAGGAGGAGGAGGAGGAGGAGGAGGAGGAGAAGGAGAGGGGAGGGGGAGGAAAGGGGAGGAGGAGAACAGCCCGCCTCGATTCGCCCTGCCCGGGGCCCGGAGCCGGGAGGAGCGAGTTTAACACCGAGGCGGACGGTGAGACCATGGGCCTGCCGTGGCTGAACGGCAGCATCAGCACCGCCCGGTGGTCGGGAGCTGCACTGCCGGACGTGTTGCAGGCTGCAGCGACGGCAGGGAGGAGGATAGTCAGAGGAGGGCAAGTTGAGACAACGGTAGTCAGCCTTCGAGGGGAGCCTTCGTCGCCACAGCCGGACGCAGCTCGGAGCATTAGCACGGTCTCGGGCCCCGGGAGGTGTCCTGGGAACGATGTTGAGTTGCCGTTGTATCCACTCGCCCTGCTCCGCAACATGCGGGCGTAAGAGCATCCATGTTCCCCTTCCGTGGCTCTCCTCGTTGTCCGTGCTACTGCTGCTGGTGCTCCGCCTCCCTCCATTCTATCACGTGTTCCTCTCCTTCTCGGGATTGTCGCTCCTCTGTGTCTCGGGATTGTCGGGATTGTCGGTCCTTCTCGGGATTGTCGCTCCTTCTCGGGTTAGTCTCCCTTCATTTCCATTACCTCTCCCACATCTCGTAGCTCGGAGAGGCTTCGGGTCCGACAGTTATTCGATGTATCTACAACGCTTCGCGGCACCACGTCCGGACTGTCGGGTGCCGTCTGAAGGCGGAGGTTTGGGGCTTTTTAGGTTTGATTTGGCAGGACTCTTGGAGGATCTTGGGGCGTTTTTGACTTTGATTGGGCCGTGGTGCAGTCAGGCGTCTGCGGCCCGCGGAGGGGGGGTGCTTAGAAGATGTTTCTATGCCTCAAGGTGTTGAGGCACGGTGGCGGATTTGTAGCTCCGATCAAGCGCGACTCGCCCCATGACGTCGATACTTGAAAGTCGAGAGGCGGATTGAGAGATCAAGTGAGGGATGCATGGAGGCTCGGCCGGGTCTGGATTCAGGGGGAAAGAGAGGAGAAGGGTGCAATGGAGGGACGGTGGACGGAGGGATGAATGAATCCATGGAGGGTAGAAGGAGGGTGGATGGATGGAGACTGGAGAAGTGGGCGGCGGCTGGAGGGAGGCTGCATAGGGGGGACGCTGCATGGGGAAAGAGGCTGGAGAAGCAGGACTCGAGGAATCGACGGACGCTTGATGAAGGGATCGATGGTAGGTCATGGACGAAGGCTCGGGGAGGAGAGGGTTGGAAGGAGGGTGGATGGAAGCATGGTGGATCAAAGGAGGATGGATTCAAGAGTGCTCGACGACGAGGAGTAGGAGGAGGAGGAGGATAGTGAGCAGTAGGAGGGAAAAATGAAGAGAGCGTGGATTGCATGAGTAAAAGAAGGAGGGGGATGGGAGGTGGAGGAGGTGGAGGAGGTGGAGGCGAGTGAGTAGCAGTAGCAGGGGGCAATCGCGCCTGAAAATCAATAATTGTTTTCTTTTCGGGCTCTCTTGGATGTGCTCTTGGAGGCATCTTGGGGCGTGTGGGAAGCGTCTTGGGCCGTCTGGAGGCCATCTTGGGCATCTTGGAACGATCTGGAACCGTCTGGAGGCTCTCTAGGACCGTCTTTGGGCTATCTTGGACCGTCTCGGGCGCGCTTGGGTCGTCCCGGAGCCGTTTCAGACTTTTGGGGAAATGGGGGGCCGGCGGCAGAGTGGGACCCCCATCGGAGGGACTTTCAGGGAGGTGGCCGTTCCGTGGGAGTTTGTCGAAGTGGCGCGCAGCTTCGAAAGTCGTGACGCGGCGCGTATAGCATCTAACAAATGGCCCTCGTCCCATCCCGCCACCGTGCTTGGGTTTTGGGTCGGAGTCCTCATGGACGCTTCTTGGGCTCTCTCCAGGGAGCTCTCGGGGGCCTCTGCGGGGCAGTTTAAGGGCCTCTTGGAGGCCTCCCGGGAACTTCTTGGTGACTTGTTGGAACCCTCTTGGGGCCTCTTGGGGCTCTCGTGGAGCCTCTTAGCGGCCTCCCGGGGGCCTCTTAGGGCCTCCTGGGGGCCTCTTGGGACAGAAAGCTCGAAATGTCTATGCGGGTTCCCCTTCTGAGCCAACTCTGCGGCTCTCTTGAAGTTGCTCTTGAAGGGCTCTTGGGGCGTGTTGGAAGCGTCTTGGGCCGTCTGGAGGCCATCTTGGGCGTCTTGGCACGATCTGGAACCGTCTGGAGGCTCTCTCGGCCCGTCTTGGGACAGCCTTGGGCCATCTCGGGCGCACGTCAGAGGCTCCTGGGATCGCCGCGGCCGTGCCCAGGAGTTCCGGCATCTCTGGCGGGAGGGGGGGCCGGCAGCAGGGGCCAAGGCCGGTGGGGGGTGAACGGGGGGTCAACTTGCATCCACACCAGCACACCCGTCTCTCGGACGTGCTGCGCAGTCCGGGCGTGGATCCGTCAGGGTTTCGCCCCCTGCCGCCGGCCTCCTCGCTCGGAGAATGGGGCATGCAGGAGCTATGGTGTGAGGCCCGGGCGCCGTCGTGAAGCAGCGTCGGAACTCAGAACGGAGGCCACTGGAGATATGACTGCCGAAATCCATCAAAGGCCTAAGGAAGACCGCAGATGTTGCCCTCTTGGGCCACTTTTGGGGGTGCTCTTGGAGCGCTCTGGGGGGCCTCTTGGGCCGTCTTGGGACCATCTCGGGCGCCTTGCAGCACTCTGCGGCCGTCTGGGAGCCTCCTGTACTGTCTTGGGTGCTTTGTATGAAGGACTGTGGCCTCGTGTGCACATTACGAGGGTTTCTGATTTCGGGGACGCGAAGAACAAATAATGTACGAAGTATCGTGGCTACGTAGACGCAAACATTGCATAGGTTACGACATGGTATTACCTCGGAGACACGAATATTGTATACACGACTAGGAATTATGGTCTCGGGAGGGCGAACACAGCGTATTTTCCGATGGATACGGCCTCGGGGGGACGAATATAGTTTAACTTACACAGGATTATGGCCTCGGGGGCGCGACCACGGCGTAATTTGCAATGGATTATGGCTCCGGGGGCGCGAATCTCATGTATATATCTTAATCTGCCCCAGGACCCCCCAAACATTCTGAGAGTGCCCCCCGGTGAAGGTATCAAGAGCCCGTTTCGGCTCTCCCCCCCCGCGCGAACTCAAACAATTCAGTGGGAAGCAAAACACCGAACTGTTACATCGGAGACTGGAAAAACTGGAACCCGAGCATGGAGCAGCGAGCCGAATGCACGGAGCCTGATGGCCCCTCGGGGCGCCAGAGACGAGGGCACAGCCAAGGGGGGGCACGGGGAACAACGATTTCCACGCTTGGCTATGCCACCGTTCAGGGGGCTCTTGGCCAGGGGAATAACAAGTGGCATAGACATAACAACTCGGAGGTCCTCGCGGATTTCTCGGATCCGCGCTGGACCCCCCTCCTTGGCGCGCGGAGCGCGCCAGGGGCGGCGCCGGAGGCGCCGCCGGAGGGGTCCAGCGCGGATCCGAGAAATCCGCGCGGACCTCAGAGTTTTTATGTTTATGTCGTTATTCGTTCCCCTACTGGCGCCGCAGACGGGGGCACGGCAAACACGGGCAGATGGACAAGCCTAAGCCCCCGTTTAGACAGACCCCCGTGTACGGAGCCCCGAGCCCCGCAAGGGGGGCCGGCGGACCTCTGCTTCCTTGTTTCACCGAGCGCGTGCCACTGCTCGCACCAAGTGCCTACGCGCAAAAAACGTCCGAAACATGCACGCCTGCTGCGATGCGATCTCTCGTGCTCTCCCCGCGGGGGAGATTCAGGCCATCTGCGAATAGTAACTCTGCGAGTCGTGGAAAACGCGCTCGTCGATCGTTGGGGCCGCTTCGGGCGTGGCCTCCTCGAGCGAGCGAGCCGGCGAGCGAGCGAGCGAGCCGGCGGAGGACAGCCGTGGAGGCTGGCGGAGGCAGACCTCAACCAGTGGCGAAGCGTCCTGGCTCGCCTATAGCTCTACCAAGCAATGTTCTAAGAACCTTCTGTGGGTTCCACGCAATGTTCTTAGAACATTTCTGGCGGAGTCTGTCTCACATCGGGTTTCTGCTCTAAGAACATTGCTTTTGTTATTAGAGCATGTTTGGGTTCTAGAACATTTCGTGGCTGCAGGGCGCTGGTCTTAAGTCGGGCCTGTCCCTCTACAGGGGGGAAATCCAAAGACAGTAAAACATAGTCTGGGGACGACGTTTTAAAATCCTCTTTTTGACAATTTTGAAATTTGATTTGACTAGTTTTAGATGTTCATCGAACTTCCGCCTGTAGGGGGGCATGCTCGACCTACCTCTGGTCCCTGTCGATGCCGGTTGCCTGCATCTTCACGGACGCTTCGGCCAAGTGGATCCGCACAGGTCTTGCACAGGGCGCCAGGGGAGGAAGCTAGACCGATGCTGCAACCCTTCCTTGGTCGCCACGCCTGGCTTCGCCTCGAAGTCTCGGTCAGAGCGCGCCCCAGAGAGGGTCCACGACAGACGCAGACACGAAGCCGTGCACCCGACCCGAGAGGACGCACAGGCAATTGCAAAACGGGCCGTGCCCACTGGCACGCTTGCGAGAAGGCGGAACATATAACGACACGCGTGCATGTCATGGCCGATGAGAGGGGGGGGGGAGAGAGAGGGAGGGGAGGCGGGGGAGGGTAGGGAAGGCGGGGAGATCCACGGAGTAGCAGTATCAGTACTTTTTGTTCCCCCAGGGTGGGGAGCGAAGGGAGAGTAGAGCGAAGGGAGAGGGTAGAGAGGGAGAGAGGGAGCGGACGGTGGAGGGAGAGGGGGAGGTGAGGGTGTGGGGAGGGGGGGGAGGGGAGAGGGAGAGAGGGGGAGAGGGGAAGAGGGGAGCGAAGGGAGAGGAGGGAGCCGAAGGGAGAGGGCTGAAGGGGGAAAGGGAGAGGACCGCGGAGGGGGAGGGGGAGGCGAGGGTGAGGGGAGGGGGGGGGAGGCGGGGAGGGGCAGGGGACAAGCTGGGTGCCCTCGCGTCATATATGACGTCCTCCCCCTATATCTTCGGCGATGCGTAAGAAAACCCAAGTTTTCGTCCAGAGTCTCGATTTTTATTAACTTTTCAATGTAATTCCCAAGATTTTGATAGAAGTTCTGGGTTTTGTTCAATTTCTGAGACTATGAAGTTCTTAACCCATGATTTCTTAAGCATATCGCAGGGTGTATACGACGTCCTACCCCTACCCCCCATCCCTTACCATTGCGCAGAT